GTTTGGAAAAGTTTCTTCCAATTTATCTGTTTTTATTAAGTTATGTAAGGTTGAGATATTTAAATCCGCCGATCGCTTTGCTATGTTTTTTAAATATTGACTTAAATGAAAACATTCTGTTTTGAACTCATCTGCATTTATGTCTTCATGATAAAATTTTGTAAATTCTTTGCATTTTTTGGTCAACTCATCAGATTCTATTATTGTTAACTCACAAAGAAAACCAAATCGACTATCAATTTCTTGGTATGCTGCAGAACGTTTTTTTAAATGAGTAATTAATGTGTCAATTATGGGAATGAAAGTATCTACACGAAACTTTTCTTTGCCTCTCAACTGTGCCGTCTCTGATGATCCTTCAAAAAAAGTGATGCGTGTGCTGCAAAATCTTTTTCTTTCAAATGTGTCTTTGTAGTCAGCATATGGATTTTTTCTTTAGCAGCCGTTTCGTACTGATCAAAATTATCGCGTGCTGTATTGGCATAACTGATCAGAGACTCGTAAAGTTTCGTTACAACGTCCATGGTCATAGTATATATGCCACGTAAATACCTTCATATAAGGTTACTAATTTGCGAAAAAAAGTAATGTGTCCGACAAAAATGTTTTGAGAATAAATGTGTGAGAGAAATTGTAGGTCCTTCGGGGCCCCCCGAGAATAGAGGCCCTGGGCACGGGCCCCGTGTGCCCTTATGGTAAAGACGGTATTGGCTGTCTTCCTCATGAACCAAACGGGGGAAGTACCGGAAAGCATAGAATATCAGGCTGGCGAGGATCAGGTCATACAGAACGGTATGCTAACACTAGTTTTTACCCTTGACTTGGTTCGTAAAGACTTCAGAATTGTGTCATAACTATAATATGTATGTTTATTAGTCAACAGCGACATCTATCAACTGTGTCACGCGAATTCATACGAAGTATTATGTTATGCTGTTATATAGAGAAAATTATATTCGTTTTGGGATGAATTATAGGCTTTATCTTATTCTGATGACTAAGCTTACAACACTGTAATAATCCGTTAAATATTTTATGCATTTTAGAGCAACAAACATATCAACACATATAAAGGTATTAAATCCAATATTATTATTAATCCTATATTACAGGAAGTTCGTTCGACAGCGTTTATTCGGCTGAGGAGGTGTACGCGGACAGTAACGCCGACTCTACATCAGAGCCATCTAGAGTTGCGTGACGTAACACAGTCAACTCTACTATGAACGAGCCCAATGTTAGCGATAGACGTAAATCAGCTGATACTATGCAAGCCTCTGTGTCAACGGGAGACCTAACATATAGGTTTGTGGACTACTGGTTTTTAAACGACTTAAAATAAAATGTGTTGTGTGTTTTATATATATTTGTGTGTGTATTCAATTAGGTTCATATATAGATGCAGTTTATAAGTATCTGAGAAGGTCATTTATTTAGTTTTGAATATGTGTCAAGTTAAACTGAAATGATAAAATTTTATGATTTCTTACATAAATGCGTCATTTTTATGAATTACTAGTTTTTGCCCGCGACTTCGTCCGCGTTAGTTTCGTCATCTTCTATCTTCTATATATATATAAATGGATTGCTGTTCCTTAGTCCCGCTAAAACTCGAGAACGGCTGAACCGATTTGGCTAATTTTAGTCTTGAAATACTCCTGGAAGTTCAGGGAAGGTTTAAAAGGTGAGAAAAAATTGATTAATTTCCGGGAAAACCATAAAAACAGCCCTTTTCTATTTCCCATACAAACGTTTTCTTTGAAATTAGATTTGACAACTAACTAATATGTCAATCATTCTGTTCGATTGAAACAGGAGAAACCTCATTACTAATGGCCTCTAAAACGCAATAGAGTTCGCCCGGTCAGCTATACATATATTACTAACTAGAAGACCTGGCAAACTTCGTATCGCCCTATAATCAAGAAATATCTATTACGTTTTTTTATTTATATTTTTGAAGTTTACCTGTAAGCCATAAATTTCCGTGTTTTGAAGTATTCTTTCGAATTTCTAAGAGTATTTAGACATCACTGATTAATGCAAAAGAGGGGTGATGTCAGGCAGGCGGCCGGTCGTAAAAACAATTAGCCAAAACTATTCACAATATGTAAGGCAGACCCTGGCTAAAGCTGGGAAATTGCCGGGTAGAAGAAGAAGATAAAAGTATCATGTAGAATAAGAAATATCATTGAAGACATGTCATATGAGTTAGTTTCTAATACATAATGTTGTATGTATCAGGGATGATACGTCTTCATCATCAGTAGTGGAGCGAGCCCCAGAGTGGGTCCCTGATATAGCGGCGCCCGCCTGTATGAGATGCTCCTCACACTTCACGGCCTTCAGGCGCAGGCATCACTGTAGGAACTGTGGTGAGTATCCCTCTATGTGTGTGTGAGTGTGAATGTGTGCTTGTGTATGTATGTATGTGTGTACGAGTTCAGTAGGCGTCGATTTGTGCAAAGTGGTTACTATGTCATATGTGCATAGTAGATATGTGTGTGTGCGCGTAAGGAGATGTGCACGTGTATGTTCATACATAGGAGTTCATTTGATTGTGTATTTGAATGCGTGCTTGAATGTGTGTGTATAAGCATGTTCGTGTCTTTGTTTTAGTGCATTTGTGTAAAACTGCTTTCAAGAGTATTTATGTGTGCGTGACTAGATACATTTGTGTGTATGTGTGTGAGTTTTATATATTTTTTAAATTACTAATATAAAATAATTAATATTACGACACGTGTTCTTTCAGGTAAAGTCTTCTGTGCTACGTGCAGCTCAAATTCAATACCATTATCGAGATTTGGTCAGTTGAAGCCGGTGCGTGTGTGTGAGGAGTGCTATCGGACCAACTGCGGGAGACAGACGAATCGGTGAAAATGTCATTGGCAAATATACCTTGCGTTATACGAAATAAAGTTGGCTTTTAAAAAATATTTTAACAGATGTAATTCTATTGTGAGATATATAAAATAGAAAGTTTTTAAACTATTTCAATAAATAATAGACTTTATTTCGATATATTAAGGTTTATTTTCTGAAATATTTTAATCGATCGCTCACAATTTCTAACATCACGTTATTGTTGAGAATTTTGTGTGTATATTCATAAAACATTTAGTATATAAAGTTTATATCAGATGCAATATATTGTATGCCTCTGCATAACTCTTTATATATATTTTAATAAATAACATTTTTCATTTTGTAATAAAATTTAATTATTCGCAGAACATTTTAAACGATATTATAAACTATGTATATTAATGTTAAGTTTTTATGTTCAAATAGTGTCTATTTTTAAGAGTACGTTGAAATGATGTTTATATTTTTTAAAATAATTAATCAGCGTTGATGTAACAGAAGATTCCATACTTTTATAACATTAGTATAGTATGTATAGATATTTTGTAAAGGTTAATTATAAATTTCTACCAATATATATGTGTTGGATTTTCCTTTCTGTATGTAATTTCTATGTTTGATGAGACCACAACGTCTAAGTGATATAATGATACTGTTATATATTTTAATCGTGTAAAATAAATGTCGGTTATATTATTAGATAAAGTATGTTTTATTTCACTGTTTTTAAATTGACTTTGTTGAAAATTCAATAAAATTACAAAATTATAAACATATCTTTTCAGCCAGTAAAACTATTCCCCAGACTGATTATCCGATTTGATGAGTAAAAAAAATATTTCAATTATTTTGTAGTCTATACACACGTTATGTGTGCAAAACTGTGCACTGTAATTGCACAAAGCAAGTTTGCTCACACTGTATTAGGTCTATAGTAATGTTTTTTTCCATCTTCTTGAACATAAACAGTTCTGATTTTTAATTTGCTTAAAAAATTCTATTTAGATTTGTGTTTTTAAGTGGTTCTGTTAATTTTTTAGTTTACATAGTGTCTATGTGATTTATGACCTCGCATGAATTGTACCAACAATTATTGTATTTCTTAAACTTTACAAGAATGAAACTAATATGTTGGGGATATACTACGTGACTTTAATAATAGTACTTACTTTAGTCATTGGTGGCCTAGTGGCAAGTACCAATGTGGTTTTACCGAATCATATATGTATATGTACTTTCTAAGAGTATTTATACAGCACTTATTAATGCATTCCCAAAGAGGGTTGATGTCAGGCAGTCATAAAAACAATTAGCCAAAACTATTCACAACATGTAAGGCAGACCCTGGCTAAAGCTGGGAAATTGCCAGGAAGAAGTAGAAGTAGAAGAAGTTTAATAATAATACTTACCTATATACGCAAATTAATTGAAAACAATGTTGTTAAAATTTTTCACTATTATTAAACAGAATATTGTAAAAATGTATAGATTTTTTCAAATACTTACGGACCTCTTTGGCACCCACTTCAAAGATAACGTGAAATTTAATTCTCCTCAGTAAACTAAGTTTTAACTTCATTTCATAACAAACTTTATCATGTTCAAATTAAAATAATTGTCTAATATAATAACTGTTAGTTCTTATTCGTGATTTGGTCCACTTTTAATTCGGTATTATTTCAAAGATGTTCTTGGTATACAGTAGAACTCCAATTATCCGAACTCCGACTATCCGAATCGCCGATTATCCGAATCACTTTCAGAAAAAAATGCGTGACCTGGTTGCCCGAAAACGGTTGAAGACCGCAAAACAGCTTACATTGACAGAGATGTTTAAAAAAAAATGATTTTTATTTCTAAACTTGTACATAAGTACAATTTATTTATATTCAAAACATGTGAAAATATCATGTTTCTTTCATTTAATTCGATAAAAAAATAGTGCAATATCAAAACGTAGCTGTTATTCTCTCCAATGGCAATGTTTAAAAAAAACTCCAATTATCCGAATATTTGATTATCCGAATGGGTCCCGGTCCCCATTAATTCGAATAATTGGAGTTCTACTGTAATTTACATAGAAACGTATTGTCAGCGACACCTATCGTGTGTGTCGCGTAAATGTATACTACATGCAACTGGTAAGTAATTTTTCTGGGGGATGTAAGTGTAATATAATTAATGGTCTGACTAATTCTGATGTCCAAGTTCCGTTATTGAATAGTTTTATCAAAATATCTTCAGCATATTTTACGCGAAAAAGCGACAAACACACATCCATACATCTTCACAAACGTTTGCTTTGAGAGTATGTATAGAATTGTTATTTTAATTTGAAAATACAGAAAACAAATGAATTAAAAGAATTCTTATTTCCAATGGGATGAATAAACGGTACTAATATCATAATACATTGCATAATTAGGGGAATAGAGCGCCACTGCGACACTGTCAACATCGTACTCGTTATAAAAAATTAATTAAAAATTTTTTAAGTGCTCCAAAACAAAGTGATACGTTCAAAACATAAAACCAGTGCATAAAATACATCGATCAATATATAAATCACAGTGCATATTCAACAATCTTCTATCAAAAGTGCATAACAACGTTGTATCTAGTGTCATTAGAAAATCGTCAAGATACGAAGACCCATATAATAATTCGAGTACGAAGTAATAGTGGAACATGTATACGACAGGACTGAAACTTGAACTACATTAAAACAGTGCGTAATCCTAAAGCATCAACTATAACCTCAAAAGTGCTTAATAATCATCATAACAATTCCTTTGTTCTAAATCATCGATTTCTATCAGCGCCATCTATTGCGATTCATCAGAATTTCCTAACCAGGTCCAAATACGACGCGCACTCCGTTATCTCACAGCACTTACACAATTCGATCGCCAATATACAAAGAAGTACTGCCCGTCCTAATAGAGAGCGCTAAGTGTATTGTAAACAGTAAGGGAGGAATTAAAAAATATGTTAATCAGCATGCAGCGAGATATAAAGCAACAAAAACAAGATATGTTAGAAATGAAAAAGGATATTAAGGATACAATAATCTCAAAGCCTCAGCGAGAAGTTCAATAATTTAGAAACGAAAAACGAGCTTTTGGAGAAAAAAATAGAAGAGCAATCAAATAAAATTAACAACATAAGAAGACAGTCTCGATGCAGAAATCTGGTCTTATTTGGCGTAGAAAAGATAGAGAAATCTTACGATGATCTGGAAAAACTGATAATAAATATAATAAATAAACACATAAAAATTTCATGCGACACTAACAACATAGAGTCATAGACACAGTTAGAAGGCTGGGTAAAAAGGGAGTCAAAGTTAGACCGATAGTAATGACACTCAACACCTTAGGTTTTAAAATAAAAATTAAAAAAATAAAAACACAACCTTCAAAATACTTCCAATTACTTAAAAGAAGACTACCCAATTGAAGTTCTAATTAAACGTAAAGAGCTACAAATACAACTACAGAAAGAAAAAGATGCAGGAAACACCGCTTTTATAAAATATGATAAAATTGTAGTACTGAACAACAAAAAACCTCAACAAAAGCAATCAAGCAAAAGAAACCTATCAGAATCCCTAGAGACGCTCCACCCCAACAACCAAATTGCTCAGTATTCTAATAAAATACACTCAAGAAAAATAAAGGAGTACTGACGAACTATATAATACAAAAGCCTAAACTAAACCTCGCTCAGAAAGAACCAGCTCAACGCCAATCGATAACCTCAGACCAAAACACAGTATAGCAATTAAAATCGGGCCCTTTTCCAACCTCTAATCTCCCAGCACGGCCGGTCACCGCGGAAGAGTTCGACCAAAACCCCCCAAGAACACTTATCAAAACTAAGAAGTGTGGCGATTACCTGGAACAGGTTCTGGCACCATAAGGAAATATTGAAATCTCAACTTCCACTACCGATCAAGAAAATAGTCATGGATACATGGATACAGAAGTATGGCAGTCCTTGGGGGAGGCTTTTACCCGAACGGGGTCCATGCATATATTAATTATTGATTAAATATAAAATGATTAATTAATTATCATATCAAATTATGAAAATCAGATTCTTATTTAAAAAATGATATAATGTAAACAAATCTAGTTAGGGTATTAATTAATTTACAATCGAATGTTATATAAATTATTATAGTTTATTATTATGCATGGAATAAATAAAGCTTTATTATTATTATTATTAATATCATAATGTTTACAGATCGACTATCCTTTAATAATGAAGTACTCCATTCCATAGATTGTTAATCAACAACGCATTCGTTTCGCTTAATACAAAAAAGATAGTTAAATGCACATTGTCATTTTTATATTTTCCTTCAAATTTTGATCTCAATAGTTTTGATACGAAACATGATTTGTGTTGTATCAAGGAAATCCATAAAGTTCTGTTCCAAATGAAAATGCATTTTTTTATGTAGTAAATTATAAAATTTTGTACCTATGTATTTATTAGTCTCAGAAAAATATTTACGTATATTCTATTCGAAATTGTCACCATTGACTTTTATACAGGGCTTAATCTGATTGGTTTAAAGTAAATATAATATTAAGACCAAATGATTAAAGTCTGGGCTAAATGAGGGAAACTCTTCAGTACTTTTAAAGTCTGGAAACTTCATTTCAAGTCAATTTTGGGTAGTTCTTGTCTAATGACTTGCTACAAGGTCCCCTGGAAAGTTCACGGTGTATTGTTAAAAACTGTATTGCTGAGAGGCTTCATGACATGATCCACGATTATATCTTGAGGCTCTTTGGTTGTAGTTTTCAATATTTTTCACCAAAATGTAGTTTTGTGAGTCTTTGATCCCCATCCCCATCAAACCGTCACTGACGCAAGATGTTGTTGTGTTTTTTCTATTAATTAAACAAATTCTTATAAAAACAAACAATATCTATAGTTTTCGTAAATTCAAATGGCAATTCGGGACTATGCCTACATTTTAAATTATGTTTAAGACGTGATCTACGAACATAATCTCACACAATTCGGATGTAACTATGTAGATTCAATTTTTATTGGTGCCGTAAATATATGACGTTTGTTTAGAAGCAGTACTTAAAAATGATAATTACGATTTGTCTCAGCAGTATAATTTAAAGATTAATATGAATCTGGTTTGATAAGACCTCGTATAAATAAAAAAGATTATAGTAAGTTTGTGAATGCACAAATTACCTGTACCAGTTTAAAAATTATGAATTTTTGATTGAAAAAATAAAAGAATAGAAACAAAGACGTTGTATGTTAGCAGAACATACTAAAGACAGAAAGAAAAGAAAGTAAAATAAATGCGACGAAACCTCTCATCATTCAGTGTATTCACCGTGCGGATGCCGGGTCCATCTTGTTGCAGAGAGAGAAGCTTCAACAGTGCCTGGTACTTGCGGCCCAGGTTTAGTTTTAAGGGGCCCTCTATCTAATGAACGTAAAACGCTCATCTCCACCGTCCAAGCACGTCTCCCTCTCTTTCACGATTTGTTATAATATGATATTACTTACATTATGTCTTTAGGGTTAAGCACACAATATGTTTTAAATATTTTATTAATTGCTATACTGTAATGTACAAAAATTATCTTCTTAAACTGTAAAAAAACTAAAAGTTGAACATATGAGTTGAACAAAACTAATTTTGCTTAGATAATAACTATAGTTTTTTGTGAGGAAGTTGGTGCTTCAAATGTAGTTTTTTTTTCTGATGAATGATTAAACAATATAATTTATCTGTTCAACCTGGTGATATATATTTTTACTTTAATTGTCTCATATTATACCTTAATTACCTTAATTATCAATCGTGTTCCACCATTCCACATGTACAAAGTCATTACATACAAATACATACAAACTGTTACTGCACTCAACATTGGTTCAAATAATCCACCTGACTTAAGTTTAAACATTTACATCGTATTTAAATAAAACTTGTAAATAAAATACATGCTTGACTACACTTTTTCAATATTAATTTAAGACCAGAATAAAATTAATATACAAATATGATTTTATAGGTATATCTTACACAAGTGAAGCGTCACTATGATAATTGGATGTGTGGAGGAGCTATTATCTCTCGATTTCATATACTAACTTCAGCAGCTTGCGTTGAAGACGTTACAGATCTATATGCTATCTCTGGAACGATATCCTATGTACCACCACAGAGTATCCTTACTAATGGTTGCACGAAGAATACCAAACGAAAAATTGTCTATACTTGCATACCCAAAGGTACATCAATCAGGGCACGCTTAAAAAATATGTACAATCCCCTCCTAATGTGACATTCTGTTACTATACTGTTTATGTTTCCAGAATATAAATTGGATTACAAGCAAGTTGAGACATGGTCTTATAATGACATAGCTGTAGTAAGAGTGGACATTCAATACGATTTTAGCGATCCACAATATGACAAACATTGTCACTTTAGACCTAACTCGATTCCAGTAAACTTTAATATAGCTAACGAAAATAAAGGCAGGGATGTCATTACCTTCGGATTTGGACACCAGAGTTATTGGAGGATGGTTGGCTATTTTTTTATTTAAATAATAATCAAAAAAATAATCTTTAACTTTTAACAATTTCGTTTAGAAATATGTAAGAGAAGATTATAACTACCCTGATCTTATGTATACGACGGCAAAGATTTCTGATCAAGGCAAATGCAAGGCCGCATACCAAAAACCTAATTTAACTGAGAAAATTGTGAAGTACATGATATGCACGAATGCTTCTGGGAACATTGATATTAATGGAAAATTGATTCAGAGACGTACAGATGTGAGTACTTATATATATATATATATATAATAGGTTTACATATGTTAAACAGAAATCCATATAAATAATATTAAGTTGGATGAGAATGTAAAGTAATAAAATTACATACTCGTAGATAGTTGTAGTTTTGGCTGTTTTTAAATTCCTACTCATAATATAACAGTAGAAGTATTCCAGAAAAAGTGGTTGTTGTGAGACGTTACGTTTATTTAAACTATCAAAATGGCTTTTGAAATCAAGATCAGGGTAGGTTATATATTACAAAATGTTAAAGCTATGAAATAAATATTCGTTCATAAAATTATTTGCGAACTATTATAGAAAAATACTACTAGGTAATAGATCTATCTGTAAATAGATGTAGACCATTGTATAGAATACGATAAGCCGTAAGAATGAACCTTATATTGCTATCTTTGAATATCATGCAGCCAATTAAGATCATTTGAAATTCACTCAAACGATCGTTGTAAAGGATTGAAGAATTTAACTTTTGTAGTGTATTCATGGCCGAGGTATTGAATTCAAATTCGTATGTATTGATGATTTTTATTTTTATACTAAGCAACATCGACGGCTCTAAAAGAAACGAGATCTGCTATATTTTATGATATGTTTATGTAGACTTAAAATTAACTTATCTCATATAAATTTTTAATTAAAATCATACAAAATTTAATTTATTGCCGAAACAAGTTTTACATATATGACATGATATAACAAATAATTATTTATAACTTATAGACATATTATTTAATTTAAGAGATTTACTTCTTGATAACTATTTTACAATAATTATCACAAGGTCAATGAATTTGTTACAAAACATATGTTATTCGTATACCTAATTACATTTTTTTTATAGTTAGTTAACGAAGATGATTCTTTGACTAGAAGACAAGGAGGAATTTGTCAGGTAATAATATTAATATACAGAAATAAATATTCTTTAATTCCATACATCAAAATTAGATTATTCTAAGATTGAAGTATATATAACGTCTACAAATTTTTATTTATGATAGCGTTCCCCCAAAAGATTTGTGTATTCGAAAATTCTAAGATAAAATTTAGTGTCTTATTTTTGTATCTAGAACGACCATGGAGTTCCTCTTGTGACGTGGATCAATGAAGAGGAGACAGTTCTAGGAGTGGGCTCTGTGTTCAGAGTTGATAAGGATACGAAATGCATAGGACCTTTCCTATACACGAGTACAGCCCGAAACAAAGTGTTTATAGAGTGTCTTCTAGAGGAAACTAAGTAATTTGTCTATTACTACTGCCCACCAAGTAGGCCGTCTGCTCCCTTGCCACCTTTAAAATTCTCTTTAAATCTCTCATCATTCCTTGGATTCACCGTGCGGACGCCGGGTCCATTGCGTTTCAGGGAGAGGAGCTTTAACAGTGCTTGGGATTTGCGACCCAGGTGTAGTCTTAAGGGGCTCATATGTAACGCGCGTTAAACGCTCACCTACAAGCTCCTTTTCTACCTACACAATTTGAAACAAACCTACTAGGGCTGCCTTCAACTCACGTTCCAAATATTAATTCTGGACAGGCTCAAGTCTATTAGTAGGTTGTTCAGAAATTTGGCTGTTATATCTCTCGACCTTACTTCTACAACGTACAAATTTACGTGGAACCTATTCTTAGTGATTTCATTCTTTAGTGATACTTCATTTATGTGTATATACGGTTAGAATAAATTAATTTTAAATATGTACACATGCAAAGTTTTCAATGTACGTAATAGGATTTGCATTGACTAATGAAATATGGCACTGTAAATGATTTTAAACTTGAGATTTAGGACGGTTATGTATTCCAAAATAGATTTGTCACAGACTAAAACTTGCTCAATACAAAAGTCTTAGTTAACCTGTTTAATATTTATGTATTGCGTAACATGCTTTTTTTTCACTGTTGCTTAATTTTATTGTCTAAGATATTTATAACTAATTACTTAATTCATACAAATTTCAATCTTATTTCAGTCAGAGACGGAGTATTGATATTTGTAATCAAGAAGCTAGCAAACTCGGATTTAAAATTGTAAGGAGATATGTTAAATGGAACGAAGATGATACAACGTAAGTTGAATATTTAATATTGAATATTGACAGTATATAGAAGACTAGAGTATAAACATTTAATTATATTGAAGTAACTTGCCGATATAAATGAATTAGTAAACATATTTTACAAATATTATAATATCACATAATTTATATGAACACAATAATATTCACATTATTGGAATATTATTTTGTTAAATATGAAATATCATATGGAAAAATAATTTGGCCTTTTTGAACAAACTAACATCTCATGTATTAAAAAAATGAAAATATAAACATAATTTATATAAAAAGAATTGGTTTTCAACTTTAAATTATTTTGTTACAGAATCGTGGACAACTCCGACGTAAAAATAAGAAAACAGATAAATATGAATTTTGTAGGGCTGGGATGACTAATAATTGTAATATGCACCATAATGATAACAAATAGAAATACGATGTAACAGAATTTATCTCATAACGTTACAAATAAAATGTAATTAAAATATTATGGTTTATTCTAATATACATACACGTACACATACACACATAAATATATACTCGTATATTCAGAAAATTAATTTAGGTCCCTGATGTTTTCCTCGAGAAATTTAATAACTTATCTTAAAATTACCGGTTGCTTTCAATGTCTCCTAGGAATAAAGTCTTTCTGTGTGATATTTATATTATCCAATAAGATGTCGTCTATTCTATTTACTTAAATGTTGTATTGTAAATAAATAGATAACGATAATTAGGTATACGATTATTATTATAAATCAATTTATATTATGAAAAGAGGTTGTATATTTAATATTTTGTATAAAGCATAATAAGGCCTAATATTAGTTCAGATCATATGTAAGCAATTATTTTAAAAGTTCTAGATAACTTGTATGCTTAAAGCCTCTTAAATAAGATTACAATTTATTGTGCACATTTCCATAATAAACTAATTGCTATTTTACTTACACTGAGCTTCTTTAAACAAATTATGTAATAAAGCAAATCAGATATAGCGCTTGCTGTGGCTAGAGATCATCTCGCGATCCCAAATGCTCGGAGCTTCTTCTGCGGCGGCTGGGGCGTGAGGAGTATTGTTGCCTCACGCGCTCTGTATCCTCCTTAGCTTGCAAATCTATTCGTACGTACTCCTGTTAATCCTGTTATTCCTAATTTGGAACCGATGCCTAAAATTTTCCTTTTTCTGCACTCTCAATTTTGAAGGTGTAATAATGAAGTTTTCGAAATCGATCAAGCTGCAGTTGGGGGAGAAGTACGTATTAGTAACCGAAGTGGGAGTTTCTAGAAAGTCGACCACAGAGCCATTGTCCTCCCTCCACTCAAGATACTGGGTTCACAGCTGACAGTGATTTTAAACTTATACTCCACATTCGATTCTACCATCAAGATCCACACCCTCATATATATGATGAAAATACATTGTAAGAGGCTATGGCGTCATTATTGGCTTAAGATAAAGTTATTTCATATTCTGTTCTTGGGCTAGGGCTCTCTCTACCGTCAAGAACAGTAGATGATGAAGGGTTGGACCAGCTGATATCTTTTTTGCCTTTCGTGGAAGGCAAACATTTAGGATGTATTGGCACATATTTTATAAATAAATATAAATAATCATCTGTTTAATCCTTGAGACGGTTAAGTACGTAGAACTTAGGCTTTAAATATTAATTTAAAGACTTACTGCGATGAAACATTTCCTCCTAAAAATAAAACTTGGTTACCTTCTGTGTTGTATACAACCCATAAATTAAGTACATTAAATATTCAAGTAAGCAGCAGAATGAAAATATTCGCTTTGATTATAATTATTCGAATTACACGAAGCTATCTTCATGATTCTGTTACATATCTACGAGTACTAACAATTCTTGGACTCTAAGTTAGTAAAGAGAATATTTTTAATCATCAACGCAGCTGATTAATACATAGACAGGTGTCAGATAATCTTCTTCTTCTATATATATAAAAATGGATTGCTGTTCCTTAGTCTCGCTAAAACTCGAGAACAGCTGAACGGATTTATCTTATCTTAGTCTTGAAATGTTCGTGGAGGTTCAGGGAAGGTATAAAAGCTGAAAAAAATTGATTAATTACTGGGAAAACCATAAAAATAGCCCTTTTCTATTTCCCATACAAACGTTCTTTTTGACATTAGATTTGACAACTAACTAATATGTCAATCATTCTTTCGCAGTACAAAACACGGAGATTTATGGCTTACAAGTAAACTCCAAAAATATAAATAAAGAAACGTAATAGATATTTCTTGATTATAGGGCGATACGAAGTTCGCCAGGTCTTCTAGTATTTTATAGATTGCTTGAAAGTGTACTTTTAGAGGTCTTCTTTGTTTAATAAAACATAAATTCAATTGAATTGTATCGATTTTGTAAAATAATGGACTGACAAACGTACACAGAAAGAAATTCTTCGATCATAATAAGTTGTAATAATTGAAATATGTATAAATTGATATCTACCACAATCAACAAACATTTATGAATTTTTACGCGTATTTGAGTTTAAATTGTATTATATGAAATACTTTACACCAGGGTTCGGCAACATTTCGGCAGGTATAGTATCAAAAATTAAGTTATTTTGATACCTGAATATTTTTTTTAAAATAAAAGTTACCTATAAAGCCTTTTATTTACACAGCAGTGAAGGGCTGCGAGTAAGTACATACATATATCTATGATCGTATGTGGTCCGCGTGCCTCGTGTTGCCGACCGCTGCCTTACGTTACACATAAATTGTATATATAGCGCGATTCACTAAAACGCTTTGAAATCTAACCATTCACGGAAAATTGATTTTATGTTCACTTATCTAAATGGATTCGAACACATAAATGAAAAGAGACAATTTTTATAATATAATATATTACTACATATTATTTTATTTATTTATATATTTTATTTTATATATAAAATTTTATCTAATAATTACAATTAACATATTTATGAGAAAAAAACACGGATAGTAGGAATAAAATTCGAAGTATTCAAGGTGATTTCAATACTTAAGAATAACTTATGGAATATTTAAATCATGATATTTACTCCAAAAAATACTTAAGAGTCACAATAAAATGAACTTATTTTCTACTTTTCATTCAAACAAAAATCACAATGACGAACTAAATATAAAAAGACTAGCGATAGAAATTTGAATTCGATTCCGTTTGTTCTCTAAAAGTCTATTGTATTGGACTGATTCGAACTTTGTGACGAACACACGTATATAAGCATAATATATACAGGCTTTGAACAAAATATTGTTAGATCAATCAAGCTTATGAATGAAGTCATTATATAAATGTTTATATTCAGATTAAGGTTTAAAGAATGTTGCTTGTGACACATCGGTTTTATATACTTAAATACTCAATAGTTGGTTAAATATAAAATATTCCGGATATTCTATTCAATAACATTTAAAAAATACATTGTAATTAAGGCAGACGAAACTTCTCAGCATTTCAAGCATACATTGTGCGGTACCCGGGTCCATCGTTGCAGGGAGAGGATCTTCAATAGTGCCTGGGACTTGCAACCCTGGTGTAGGTTTAAGGGGCCCGTATCCAAAGCGCATTATACGCTCGCCTCCACCGTCAAATCTCCTTTCTATAAAATAGTCTAAATTTAATTAAATCAAAGTAAAGTATCATCGTACAGTACAAATTGATTCTGTAAAAAACGTGTTTTATAAAATTTTTTTTAGAAATTTCATGACTTAAAAAGCTGTAGTCAAACATATTCCTACTACCTATATATTTTATTGAAAGAGTAAAGCAAATTACAAATATGTGTTAAGAAATCATTGAGCATTTGAGTTGACAAATTGAGCAACATTAGCTAACGGTTTGCTAAAAACTTGAGTTGATTTCCAATAAGCAAATTTTATTTATTTTTATGAGAATACAATACAGAACGGAAAGCGGAGAGAAACTTGAATAACGTTTAATTGTTTTTAAATATGTATAATTGTTATGTACATTTGTGGTACGTGTTCAGAGGAGGAAAGTTATATCTTATTTATTGAAATAACATAATAATATAAGAAATAAATGGGGACTTTAGAATACCCATCAGTGTGATCTGAATGGTTTTGTTAAAACTCAAGCTGAAACTGACGTCATTATGTAAAGTGAGTTAAACCAAGTTAATACAAAGAT